GGGATTACAGGCTTGAGCCACCGCTCCCGGCCTTACCTTGCTAGGTTTTATGGCTGGCTTTGGGGGAGAGGAGTTCTAGTTTCTATGACCTGCCGTGGGGAAAAAGAATTGTGGTTTCTGGGACTCACTTTGGGGGAGAAAAATGGGCAGGAACCAGGACGGAAAGACAAAGACCTGGCTTCTGAGGCCTTCCAGTCTCCTCTGGGTCAGAGTACTCTGCATGCCAAGGTGCCATACTTTGGGGTTTAATGAGCCCTAACAGCAGGTCCTTGCAGATGTCACAGGCAACTTGTAATCCAAGTAATTGCCTTTCAGTTCCCCAATTTCAGAGGACTTTAGCAAAGTCTGGTTGAAATGGCCAAGTGTTGGCCAGGCGCTGTGGCTCAAGCCTGTAATCCCAGCACTTTGGGAGGCCGAGGTGGGCAGATCACGAGGTCAGCAGATCAAGACTATCCTGGCTAACACGGTGAAACCCCGTCTCTATTAAAAATACAAAAAATTAGCTGGGCGTGGTGGTGGGCACCTGTGGTCCCAGCTACGCGGGAGGCTGAGGCAGGAGAATGATGTAAAACCGGGAGGCGGAGCTTGCAGTGAGCTGAGATTCGGCCACTGCACTCCAGCCTGGGCGACAGAGTGAGACTCCATCTCAAAAAAAAAAAAAGAAAAAGAAGGCCGGGTGCGGTGGCTCACGCCTGTAATCCCAGCACTTTGGGAGGCGGAGACGGGCGGATCACAAGGTCAGGACATCAAGACCATCCTGGCTAACACAGTGAAACCCCGTCTCTACTAAAAATACAAAAAATTAGCCAGGTGTGGTGGTGGGTGCCTGTAGTCCAGCAACTCGGGAGGCTGAGCTTGCAGTGAATCGAGATCGCGCCACTGCACTCAACCATGGGCAACAGAGTGAGACTCCATCTCAAAAGAAAAAGAAATGGCCAAGTGTTAGAAGAACCTCTTCAAAGCTGAAATTCATTGAGTTCTTCAGCTGAGGGCATAAGAATCCCAGATGTAAGGTTAGCAAGAGTTAGGAGTTCTGGAGTCTTCCCTGCACGCCCAGGCTCTTGACCATCAACAGCCAGAAGCTCACAGTATCTGCTCCTCCTGTGGCTCAGCGGGGCTGTGTGTTAGAGCAGCATGTTCAGAATGAAACCGGCGCACTTCCGCCTCGAGGACCTTTGGAAGTCGTATGGCCCATGTGGCCTCGCGGGAACACAGATGCTCCAGCACCCGATGTGTTCAGGACTGGGTGGGGGAAGCTTCAACCCTGGAAACATCCCCCTGCTGTGTAGACCAGCCTGCCCCGTGGCCAAGGGCAGCGAGAACCCCGGCTACCCCTCGGGTTGCACGACTGTCTGTGCTAGAATTTTGCCCTTCCTGGGCAGAAAAGCTCAACATTTGGCTCAGGGCATAAGTGGGAAGAAATATCCACCAAGGGGCCGGGCGCGGTGGCTCACGCCTGTAATCCCAGCACTTTGGGAGGCCGAGGCGGGTGGATCATGAGGTCAGGCGATCGAGACCTGGCTAACACGGTGAAACCCCATCTCTACTAAAAATACAAAAGAATTAGCCGGACATGGTGGTGGGCGCCTGTAGTCCCAGCTACTCGGGAGGCTGAGGCAGCAGAATGGCGTGAACCCGGGAGGCGGAGCTTGCAGTGAGCCGAGATAGAGCCACTGCATTCCAGCCTGGGCAACAGAGCGAGACTCAGTCGCTAAAAAAAGAAATTGAAAAAAAATACCCACCGTGATTTTTGCTGTGAGGCATGAAAATACAAGGTGGCAGCCTGAGGTGCTTGTGGCCACCCAGCTGGAGGCCGGTGGGCTGTGCTTCCCAGCTTGCTTGGAGGAACGTTGTTAGTTGGGAGGAGGTGCCTTTTCTGAAGAAATCCTTGTGCTGGACATGCTGATCCTGAATGAGTCCTAAGGGTACAGATTTCCAAGACCCAGAGGAGACCACAAGCCTGTGTTCCCGCCAGTGCTGGTGGTAGCTGGGTTCCAGGCAGGTGGAGCCAACGTGGTCTGGAGCTGGCAGCCACACTCTGGCACCTCCTCAGGTGGTTTTCAAGGGTGGCTTCCAGCCAGGGAGCCCTACGTAGGCGTGGCATGACGCCACGGGAGGACAGTCTCGGGATGGGCGGATAAGGACCCTCCTTGCCTGCTCCTGACAGGCCGGGTGCTGTAGGCCACTTTGAATGACCCACGTTCCCAAAACCATCAGGTCCCCACTTTGCTGGCACACAGTGTCAATTGGGGTGTCCTGTGGGGTGGATGAGGGGTGCTAGGGACTCCCCTGGCCTTGTCACCCAGACCCCCACCCGACTTTAGGGTCCCTGCGCTCAGCGGCTATTCTGGGCCCAGACATGCTGGACGCCCCCCGCCCCGTCAGTGCACATGCCGGAGCCCATTTCACTCCTGAGTCTGGGAAAACTGATGCTGCTGAGGACCCCACTGTTGTGAGTCATCTCTGCCTGTGGGCTCAGCGCAGATGTAGCACCTGGAGATGAATTTTTTTTCTTTTGTTTTAGAGATGGGGGTCTTGCTCTGTTACAGCCCAGGCTGGAGTGCAGAGGCACAGTCACAGCTCACAGGCCCATACGGTGCAGCGGCCAGGCAGAGGCACTCCTCCCTTCCCAGACGGTGGGGTGGCCTTGACCTCTCGGGTTTGAGTGATCCTCCCATTTCAGCCTCCCGAGTAGCTGGGACCACAGGCACAGTGCCACCACAGCTGGCCTGAATTGTCTTTAACGGTTTGGAGTTCCCATGAAACTAAATGCTAATCAAAGGATAGCTGTGGGGAAAAGAGAGAGATCAGACTGTTACTGTGTCTATGCAGAAAGTAGACATAAGAAACTCCATTTTGTTCTGTACTAAGAGAAATTCTTCTGCCTTGAGATGCTGTTAATCTGTAACCCTTGCCCCAACCCTGTGCTTGCAGAGACACATGCTGTGTTGACTCAGGGTTTAATGGATTTAGGGCTGTGCAGGATGTGCTTTGTTAAAAAAGTGCTTGAAGGTCGTATGCTTGCTCAAAGTCATTGCCATTCTCTAAACTCAGTACCCAGGGACACAATGCACTGCGGAAGGCAGGCCGCAGGGACCTCTGCCCAGGAAAGCCGGGTATTGTCCCAGGTTTCTCCCCATGTGATAGCCTGAGATATGGCCTCGTGGGAGGGGAAAGACCTGACTGTCCCCCAGCCCGACACCCATAAAGGGTCTGTGCTAAGGAGGATTAGTGAAAGAGGAAGGCATCTGTCTCCTGCTCATCCCTGGGAATGGAATGTCTTGGTGTAAAACCCGATTGTATGTTCTATTTACTGAGACAGGAGAAAACCGCCTTAGGGCTGGAGGTGAGACATGCTAGCGGCAATACTGCTCTTTAATGCACCGAGTTGTTTGAGTTGTTTGTGTACGGGCACATCAAAGCACAGCACCTTTCCTTAAACTTATTTATGACACAGAGATCTTTGCTCACTTGTTTTCCTGCTGACCCTCTCCCCACTATTACCCTATTGTCCTGCCACATCCCCCTCTCTGAGATGGTAAAGAGAGTGATCAATAAATACTGAGGGAACTCAGAGACCAATGCCAGCACTGTCCTCCGTTCTCCATATGCTGAGTGCCGTTCCCCTGGGCCCACTGTTCTTTCTCTATACTTTGTCTCTGTCTCTTACTTCTTTTCTCAATCTCTCGTCCCACCTGACGAGAAACACCCACAGGTGTGGAGGGGCTGGCCCCCTTCAGATAGTATTATATAGTGTGTGAAATTACATCATTAATATTTTTTCCTCAAAAAAAAATCACATTAATAAATGTGTGATAAGGTTGGCTGCTGGGAAGCAGAGGTTGTGGTGAGCCAAGATCGTGCCATTGCACTCCCGCCTGGGCAACAAGAGCAAAACTCCATCTCAAAAAAAAAAAAGGAAAAGCAGGAGGGGTGAGCTGGCCTCTCCTGAAACCCCAGCACTGACGGAAGTCAAGGCAGGCTAACCTCTTAAGCCCAGGACTTTGAGACCAGCGTGCCACTGCACTCCTGCCAAGGTGACAGCAAGGCCCTGCCTCAAAAAAAAAAAACAAAAAAAAAAACGCCAAGTACAGTGACTCACGCCTGTAACCCCAGCACTTTGGGCGGCCAAACCAGGTGGATCCCTTGAGTCCATAAGTTCGAGACCAGCCTGGGCAACGTGGTAAAACCCCATCTATACAAAAAGCACAAAAAATTATTTGGGTGTGTTGGTAAGTACCTGTTGTCCCAAGTACTTGGGAGGCTGAGGTGGGAGGATCGCCTGAGCCCCGGCTTGAGGCTGCAGTGTGCTTATGCCACTGCACCCCAGCCTGGGCAACAAAGAGGCCCTAAAAACCACCAGGGGTTTCCCTCCTAGCAGCTGAAATCTGAGAATCGTGGATGCAGTGGAGAGCATGAGCGCTCTCCCAGCCCTGTGGGACGCCTTCACTTAGCCACACAGGGGCCGACACACGCCCAAAACCAAACGCACCGAGCGAGTGGGAGTGCCGCCCGCTGCTGTCCCAGCCCTTTCCCAGGGAAAGGCCACCCCCTTCCAGCTGCTGCATGTGCTCTAGGGCTGAGTTCTGGCTGCTGCAAAACCAACATCCCAACGCCAGGGCTGGGGCCACCCGGTACATCACAAGGTGGGAAAACCATTCATCCGACAGAAACATGTCCATAAGAGGAAAACAGCCCTGACTTTAAGTATCTATTCTCCACATTAAAACTTTTAACTAAAAGGTAAACTTTAATGTCGAAAATGCAAACTTGGGGAAGACAGAAAAGATCACATACAAGGCTGTCACTTCACAGTTGGAAGGTTGCACAGCGGCCGGGCAGAAGCGCTCCTCACTTCCCAGATGGTGGGGCAGCAGCCGGGCAGAGGCGCTCCTCACTTCCCAGACAGTTGGCGGCCGGGCAGAGGCGCTCCTCATTTCCCAGACAGTTGGCGGCCCGGCAGAGGCGCTCCTCATTTCCCAGACAGTTGGCGGCCCGGCAGAGGCACTCCTCACTTCCCAGATGGTTGGCGGTGGATGGACCCAGGCAATCCTCACTTCCCAGATGGTTGGCTGACAGCCGGGCAGAGGCACTCCTCACTCCCTAGACGGTGCTGGGCAGTCGGACTCCATTGCTGGATGTGTGACTTGGGTTTAAACCTCTCCCTTCTGCCCTCATCTGGAAATGCTGACAGCCTGGGCCTCCCTCCTTTGGCACTGGATGGAGACTGAAGCCTGGCAAGGCCTGCCCTCAGCAGGAACTCCCCCTGGGCCCCACTCTGTGACCCCGAGCTCAGGCCAGGATTTTTCCTTTACTTTCTCCAGCCACTTTGGGCCTCCCGGCTCTCTGAGCCCTGTGAGGTAGGTGACAACCCTGTTCCCACTGTTTTGTTTTTTTTTTCTCTTTTCGTGTATTTTTAGTAGAGATGTGGTTTCACCATGTTGGCCAGGCTGGTTTGAACTCCTGACCTCAGGTGATCCACTTGCCTCGGCTGCCCAAAGTGCTGGGATTATAGGTGTGAGCCACCGTGCCCAGTCCCCAGGTCCCACCTTAGTGTATGTGTTGTCATCACGTTTCACCCCAAGCAGACCTTGGGTGGGCAGCCTCTGTGGGGACCACTCACAACTGACCTGTAGTCATGGTCGCCTGCAGAGCCCTTGCAGGTGGTCCAGATGTGCCCAGTGGCCCTGCCCCGAAACGTCTTCCCTGCCCGTGGCCTGCTCTGCCTGATGTGCACTGTGCGCTCGGCTCTGCTGACTCCCAGGGCCTCCGTCACACACCAAGCCAGCCTTATCAGCTGTCTCACTAGTTGGTGTTCAGGGACAGGGACCCAGCCCTTCCTAAGGTGCACCTGGGCTGAGACTCAGAATGGACGTTCAAAACAAAGACATGGCGCTGTGAGTGACACCAGGCCCCACGGGCCGTCTGTCAACCAGGCCTTGGCCCTAGTCCATCGGACACTCACCCCTTGCAAGATGTGGACCCGCTAGTGCCTAACGTGTAAACAAGTAGCTGGAGGCCCCACCCCCACACTGCTGGCATGGCCTGCCTCTCCCCTACCCAGGTGTGGCAGCTCCTGGTGCCAGTTTCCCAGGAGCATGGCCAGGCCCCGGGTGTCTCTCCATCACGGCTGCGGCTCTGGCTTCTTCCGGGAAGTGAGGTGGGGTCGCTCCCCCTGCAGCAGCCGCCGCCGCTGCTTCAACACCCTGTAGGCCTGCACGGCCCGCTCTCTTTCCTCCCCCACAATCCGCTGGCGGGCCAAGGAGGCGGTCAGGGGCTGGGACACACCGCTGGGGCTCAGAAGCATCCTCAGCATCTGCGATCTCCTGCCAGGCTGCGGGAAAGAGGGGAGGGTGAGGCACAGGCTGGGAAAGGAGGGGACGCCACAGAAAGCCTCACAGCACCAACAGCTCTCCCGCCAGCGAGAATGCTGCACTCTCAGGCCACACACCAGACAGCGCACACGTTGGCTGAGGATTTTTTTTTTTTCTTGACAAAGGATCTCACTATGTTGTCCAGGCTGGTATCAACTCCTGGGCTCAAGCGATCCACCTGCCTTGGCCTCCCAATGTGCTGGGATTACAGGTGTGACCCACTGTATCCAGCCTGTCCAAGGCTTCTGTTCCCTGGCAGCACTGGGGGACAGACTCCGTTGTCCCCATGCCCCACTTACTTGGTCCTTGCTTACGCTCCTCCGGGGCCTGACAGTCAGCTCTGGGGGCTGCAGGACAACCTCTCCAAACGTCACCGTGTCTGGAAGGGCAGAGTACAACTGAGGACTGCTGCCCACAGCCACTGCACCCGACACCCAGCGCCACCACCCGCCCACCTCCCTCCCATAGGGCTGGGACAGAACACCAACTCATCCAGTGGTCTAATGGCTGTGGACCCCAGGTGCAGCCAGGGCTGGTGCGGAACAGAAGGCCTGTGCCCAGCCCCTGCCCGGACCACTGCTGACACCATCGCTTTGGGAGGAGCTACCTCGGAGCAACTCCTGCTCCAGCCTGTCGGCCGCCTTTTCCTCCTTTTTCCGTTGGACTTTATCTAGTCGCCGCCTCTGGAACCTGGGGAAGAAAGCACATGTCACTCGGATTCCTAAATTCTCTTTCCACCCAGGGAGGAGGCAGAGGCCGCCCCGCCCACAAGGATCCTCTGTGGCAGAGCAGGGACCCGAGAACAGGCGGCTGCCTCCAAGTCCTTGCTCCCCTCACTGCCCCAAACCCACTCCAAGTCCCGGCTCCCCTCACTGCCCCCACCCACTCCAAGTCCCCGCTCCCCTCACTGCCCCAAACCATAGCTGCCACCAAAGGAGGCTCTGAGCCCAGCAGGCCCCTCAGGGGTCCCCTCAGTGATTCTCAGCCGGGGACGGCTGCCTCCCAGGGAGCATCTGACAATGTGTGCACACGCAGGCGGTCTCATGGGCAGGGGCTACTGGCACCTGGTGCATGAAGGCTGGGAATGCTGCCAAAGACCCCCTACAGAGACTCATCCAGCCCACCCGGTGCTGCTGTGTCTAAAGGGCCTGACACGCATCGTGTGTCCCATCTCCCTCACTGTGAATCTGGAAGCTTCACCTTCGGCGACAGCTCTGGAGATCACTGTGGCGCTAAGCTGTGTCTGGGACACGTTCTCTGGGATGAACTTTCATTGGCTAAGGTAATTGTAAGTAATACAACAGCCCAGAAACAGGGAATCTACAGAGCTGAAAGCAACCTCTCTAACCTTCAAAGTTTTTTTTTTTTCTTTTTTTTTTTTGGGAGATGGAGTCTCGTGCTCTGTCACCAGACTGGAGCACAGTGGCGCGATCTCAGCTCACTGCAACCTCTACCTCCTGGATTCAAGCGATTCCCTTGCCTCAGGCTCCCAGGTAGCTGGAATTACAGGCACGCACCACCACATCTGGCTAATTTTTGTGTGTGTGTTTTAGTAGAGACAGGGTTTCATCATGTTGGCCAGGATGGTTTTGATCTCCTGACCTTGTGATCCACCTGCCTCGGCCTCCCAAAGTGCTGGGATTACAGGTGTGTAATCTAAATGCTTAGTCAAAGCATTTAGAGAATTAGAAAGGTGTGGCCGGGCGCACCTTTTGTTTCAACAAAGCTTTTGTTGAAACTGCCTCCCCATCCTGCCTACAGGGATGGGCAGAGGAGCTAATGCTTGTGGTGGGCTTACTACTCCTGCCAGCCACCATCCTTAGGACGGAATGAGAAATCCATCTGAACCTTGTGGCCACTCTACAGTCGAGGAAGGCCAGGCTGAGGAGATGCCACAGAGCGGCAGGGACAGCAGAGCCAGTACAGCCAGAGCTCCCGAGTCTCTTGGACCAGGAAGGGCCCCAATGGAAACAGAACCCCCGGGCACGTCACCCTCAGACCGACCCCCCAAGGGCGGATTTCCGCAGGGCCAGGGCTTTCTGGAGCTTTTCCTGTGAAAAGCAAGGACCAAGCGAGGTCTCCGCAGAGTCCCCAGTTCCACAGCCTCCTGGAGGCCACACCCTCGCTAGCTCCCAGCTGGACGATCTGACTCGCCAACTCCCAGGGCTCCAGCTTCGTTTCCCTGAATCCGGGCTGCCCCATAGCTACGAAACAAGGTCCCTGCAGAGGGCCATCATGGGAACCCAATGTCCTCCCTCCGGCTCCGGGGGCAGGCCCCGACCCCTCCTGCCTCCACTCACGCTTTTTTTGCTTTTTTCTGCTCAGACCTCTCCGTGGGAGCCGCCTGTACCTCTGGCTGCCGGGGGACCTGGTTCTTGCTGAGGAACAGCACGTGCTGGGCCTCTTGATGCATGCGCTGCATATAGGCCCCATCGGACTCCCCCTTCCTCTGTTTGAACTTGGGGACGGCAATGTCGGGCTCCACTCCCTTTGCCTCCTTCTCCAATGTCTTTCTGAAGGTCACCTGGGCTGAGGACAAAGGGAGGCCTCAGAGGAGACACGAGGCAGACAGTGGCAGGCAGGTGGCCCATGCTCATTTCCCCTCCTGAAGCCAAAAGAAGGGAAGACGAGGTTGGCTGGAAGCAGCCCAACGATAGCAGCTGAAGAGGATCTAGAATGTCCAGCCTGGCATCCCCAGGGATGCACAGCTGTGCTGAAAAAGGAAAGCAGAAACAACCTAAATGCCCACCCCTAGGTGGCTGGTTGAATGAATTCTCCTCTGAGCACCCACAGACTCCACCACACAGCTGCTGAAGGAAGCCCAGCGGAGCTACACATAGAAACGTGGGCAGACCTACGACACCACTGTGAACACAAGCGCAGGACCCGAGGCGAGTGTGGAACACAGGAGTGGACACTGCTGTGTAGAACAGGACAGGCGAGTGTAGAACACAGGAGTGGACAGTGCCGTGTAGAACAGGACAGGAGAGTGTAGAACACAGGAGTGGACAGTGCCGTGTAGAACAGGACAGGCGAGTGTAGAACACAGGAGTGGACAGTGCCAGGCAGGGGGTTGTGTTCATAAATATATGAAGACATGCATATTACCGGGCATAGTGGTAAGACATGCATATATACCGGGCATATAATCCCAGCACTTTGGAAGGCTGAGGTGGACGGATCACTTGAGGCCAGAGTTTGAAACCAGACTGGCCAATATGGCAAAACTCAGCCTTTACTAAAAATACAAAAACTAGCCAGGTGTGGTGGCACAGGCCTGTAATCCCAGCTACTCGGGGGGCTGAGGCACAAGACTCACTTGAACTCGGGAGGTGGAGGTTGCAGTGAGCCAAGATTCTGTCTCCAAAAAAAAAAAAGGCCAGGCACAGTGGCTCACGCCTGTAATCCCAGCACTTTGGGAGGCTGAGGTGGGGAAATCACTTGAGGTCAGGAATTCAAAACCAGCCTAGCTAACATGGTGAAACCCTGTCTCTACTACAAATACAAAAATTAGCCGGGCTTGTTGGTGTGTGCCTGTAATCCCAGCTACTTGGGAGGTTGAGGCAGAAGAATTGCTTGAACTGGAATCTCGAAGGCAGAGGTAGCAGCGAGCTGAGATTGTGCCACTGCACTCCAGCCTGAGCTAGACCAAGACTCTGTCTAAAAAAAAAAAAGAAAAAAAAAACACGCAAAAAAATGTAGCCGGGTGTGGTGGTGCGCAGCTGTAATCCCAGCTACTCAGGCGGCTGAGGCACAAGAATTGCTTAAACCCAGGAGGTGGAGGTTGCAGTGAGCCCAGATCATGCTACTGTACTCCAGCCTGGGCGACAAAGCAAGACTCCATCTCAATAAATAAATAAATAAATAAATAAATAAATAAACAAAGGTGCCAATGCAATGCAGCACGGTTCAGAATATGCCATCTGCTACCCAGGCCAGTGTGCCTCCTCCCTGCACCTTCCTCACCTCTATCTCACCATCCCGTTGGCAGCCACATAACCCCCAACGAGAAGCCTACAGTTTATACACAAATTATACAACAGCTTTGCTGTAAAATCAGTCCCACGTTTGGGAAGAGAAATGTGTCTATATCCAAAATATACACACAATGGACACCGTTTCCCAACGTGCCCAGAGTGTTACCTCTGGGTTGCAGCGGTGGGACATGTGGCCACCCTACCCAGACTTGGGGGAGGAAGGCAGACTTCTCAGAGGGGCCTGATCGAACTTCCTCCTTCGGCTCCTGACTCCACCCACTTCTCTCTACCATGGCTTCAGCACTCTTGTCCCAGGAACCATGGCTTCTCCCTGGCAGCAGCGCTGACACCTGCCAGGTCCACTCTTGCTCGCTACATCGCCACTCGGTGACCTTGTTTTGCTTACAGTAAACATGAATTGGCCATGCCCTGCTAAAAACTCTGATGTATCTTCGCAACTTTTGGGGGGAAAAAAACGCCACTCCTTAGCCTGGTTCCTGAGGCCCCATAACGGGTGCTCCCCGCCCACCCCACAGCCTCCTTCCAAGCCTCCTCTGGAACCACAGCGCCACCCGCTGCCAGCCACTGCTTTGGTTTTGTCCACACTCCCCCCACCTTCTGAGCACTGGGTCTTGGCATATTTCCTCTGCCTGAAACGTTCTGAAGTATTTGGGCGATTGGGCGTGTTGAGACACACAAAGCTTCACTGCTGCCCAGTATGGGCCTGCACACACCTGCTTTCTTCCTCTTCTTGTTACTGATCGGGTTTTTCATCTCCTGGCGGCTCCTCATAATCTCCCGGAGACGGAAAGGGATCTCCTGTTCATCCTGGTTTTTGGGCTTGCAGTTCAGTTTCTTCTTCTCTTTGCTGGGAGGAAGAACACGGGGGTGAGACCCATTGCAAGTAAAGCATAAGCAGAATCAATAAGAGAAACAATAATTGGGTCTGGCAATAGAATTTACAGGGGCGGGCCGGGTCCGGTGGCTCAAGCCTGTAATCCCAGCACTTTGGGAGGCCGAGGTGGGCGGATCACGAGGTCAGGAGATCGAGACCATCCTGGCTAACGCGGTGAAACCCTATCTCTCCTCAAAAATAATACAAAAAATTAGCCGGACGTGGTGGCGGGTGCCTGTAGTCCCAGCTACTCGGGAGGCTGAGACAGGAGAATGGCATGAACCCAGAAGGCGGAGCTTGCAGTGAGCTGAGATGGCGCCATTGCACTCCAGCCTGGGGGACAGAGCGAGACTCCGTCTCAAAAAAAAAAAAGAATCTACAGGGCCACATCTGGCTTCTGTGGTGTGAGCCAGTCCAGGGAGCAGGGATCTTTCCTCTCGGTCTCTCAGTGGCTGTCCCTGAACCGCTTCCTCACAGGATGCGAGGCTGAAAGGCACTCCGAAAGCCCAGGAGGCCTTTCTGCCCTGACCTCTGTCAGGCCTCTGAGCCCAAGCCAAGCCATTATATCACCTGTGACCTGCACGTATCCATCTGGATGGCCTGAAGTAACTAAAGAATCACAAAACAAATGAAATTTAAATGGCCTGTTCCTGCCTTAGCTGATGACATTCCACCACAAAAGAGGTGAAAATGGCCGGTCCTTGCCTTAACTGTTGACATTACCTTGTGAAATTCCTTCTCCTGGCTCAAAAAGCTCCCCCACTGGGCACCTTGTGACCCCCGGCCCTGCCCGCCAGAGGACAACCACCTTTGACTATAATTTTCCTTTACCTACCCAAATCCTATAAAACGGTCCCACCCCTATCTTCCTTCGCTGACTCTCTTTTCGGACTCAGCCCGCCTGCACCCAGGTGATAAAAAGCTTTATTGCTCACACAAAGCCTGTTTGGTGGTCTCTTCACACGGACACGCGTGAAAACCTCGTCCAGAACCGCAAAGACGGGACAGTGGGAGCGGTAAAGGCAAAACCTGGGACTCCCTCGCGCCTCCATTCATTCAACCGATCCTGGCGGGGCGCAGGCGCAGAGGACAGCACTGAGCCCCGCCTGGGAAAGGCGTCAGAGCGAACGCTCCCTAGGGTGTCCGGGAGGGAGCCTTCTAGGCGTCTCCTTCCTAGGGGAAGTGCAGCGGCCTCGCGGGGCAGTGCACTCACCTGCGAAGCCCGGGCCACGGGGCTGGGCGCTGCTTCCCCAGCGGCTGCACTTGCTGCCGCCGCCGTGCCCGCCGGGGACTCCCAGGACCCGCCTGCGCCCTGGGCACCGCTGCACCGCGTCCAGCTCGCGCCATCTCCACTCCGGGAACTTCCCTAGGGAAGCCACTTCCGCCTTCCTGCACGGTTCCGCCACCGACGGGCACTTCCGCTTCCTGCGCTCAGCCCCTCGCTCGCTGGAGCCGCGCGACTTCCTGAAAGTCCGGGATTGGCTGGAACGCCCGCCGCTCACTGTCAGGGCCATGCTGCTGCGGAGCGTCGTGCGGGGAGGCCGGCAGGTAGCCGCCGCGGCCCGTGGCTCGGCAAGTACTGGGAGGGGTCCGGGCAGCACTGAAGAGTACATCCAAGAGGCCGCTGTCCAGCGGCCCGCACGTGCTGGAAGGAGCCCCCCTCCCTTCCCCCCCTCTCCCCTACCCTTCCCTCCCCTCCCCTCATCTGTGGAGGGGCCGCTTAGTCCCGGGAGGGGAAGCAGCCAGGTGAACGGCCACTTTCCTGTTTGTCAGTATCTGCCGAGCTCCTACTGTGTGCGAGTCCTGGGCTGTGGGGACTGGCCGTGGACACGGAGCTGATGATGCTCCTCGCAGGACTAGTTAGAGAAATAAGTGAAGTTGGTAGCGTGTCGGTCCGTGATCCTGGGTGGACAGAGCAGGGGAGCGAGGGAAGGCTGCCTATAGGACCTTCACGCTGGAATGACAGGGACCTGAGAGGCCTGGGCTTTGTGACAGGGAAACTTGGATAAAGGGTGGTGTGATTCTTCTGGTTGGTCTCTCAGAGGAGGGTGGTGGGGCTTGATTATACTGGTAGAGAGGTGCTGGGCTGGCCAGGAGCTTACAGGGTTATACCTCCCCCATGCTCCTGTCCACAGAGCAGTCGTCTTAGCTGGAGGTGGCAAGTGCCTCCCCCACCCCCACCATCTGCTGGAGTGCACACCCGGCGCCGTGCCCTGATCCTGGCACTTCTTGTAAATCACACCGTGTCATATCCACTGCACAGTAGGGAAACTGAGTCTGGAGAGGTGAAATAACATGTCTAAAGTCACAGAAAGTGAAAAAGCTGAGGACCTGGAACCACTTGCCCAATGACAGGAGAGCTGAAATGTCCTCTCTGCTGGGGGTAGACCAGGCCTCACCAGCTTCCTGGAGAGTCACATGTTTGTCTGCATCCTTAGGGGGCTCCCCCGCTCTCCAGCCGAGACTGCGGCAAGAGGCTTCCTGGAGGTGGCAGCTTTCTTCAGAGGCACCATCCCGGAGTGCAAGCCCCTGATGGGCGCAGAAAATTCGGGAAAGACCACATAGAGGTGGGCTCCCAAGCAGGTGCAGACAGCACCAGGCCACCCAAGGCCTCACTGCCCAGTGAGGGCCCTTCAGAACCTCAGTACCCTCTGCCACCTGAGCTCCAGCCGCCCACAAACTGCTGCATGAGTGGTTGCCCCAACTGTGTGTGGGTGGAGTATGCGGACAGGCTCCTGCAGCACTTCCAGGACGGTGGGGAGCGGGCCCTGGCTGCCCTGGAGGAGCACGTGGCTGACGAGAACCTCAAGGCCTTCCTCAGGATGGAGATCCGACTTCATACCAGGTGCGGAGGCTGAGCCAGCCCTGCTGGACTCCCTCCCCCAGGAAAGAGTCCGGGACATAGCCGCAGCCTCCTTCCTTCACACCCCCTCACAGACTCCTTGTATCCAACGGGAATGGGAAGAATTATTTATTGACTTCACCTGAGAAAAAAATAAATTCTCTATGGTGGTTTCACAGGAGGCTTTTGTTTTGGGGGTGGTTTTTTTGGCAGTGTGTCTGCCAACCAGAACTGCCGCTGCTCTAGCCTCAACAGGAGGCTTTTGTGTAGTTGTCTGTAAGGCCTGTGTTGCATCTTGAAAGCGAGCAGGTCCAGGTCAGTATTATGCATCTCCGGAGCCCTTGTAGCCATCACTCTGCTATGAGGGTAAAATAAGACCCCCGGCCGGGCACGGTGGCTCACACCTGTAATCCCAGCACTTTGGGAGGCCTAGGCGGGCAGATCACGAGGTCAGGAGTTTGAGACCAGCCTGACCAACATGGTGAAATCCCGTCTCTACTAAAAATACAAAAATTAACCAAGTGTGGTGGCAGGCGCCTGTAATCCCAGCTACTCAGGAGGCTGAGGAACCCAGGAGGCGGAGGTTGCAGTGAGCTGAGATTGTGCTACTGCACTCTAGCCTGGGTGACAGAGCAACACTCCGACTCAAAAAAATAAATAAATAAGACCCTTTTTCCTTGAACGGTCAAATGACAGTGACCCCAGCGCCCCTTCCAGGCCAGGTCCTAGCTTCCCCCAAGTCCTGGCAAAGGCCTTCTCTGCTTGCTGTCAGTGTGCAGCAAAAGGAAGGCCATCTGATCTCATGGAGTCGCTGTGGCAAAGCCTTTGGCAGGCACAGAAGCCCACAGGCAGCCTGGAAGTGCCCGTCTGTCCAGGTACATCAGTCCAGGTACATCAGTCCCCCGCAGGCATCCTCGGGTGCCCTTCCACCAGCCTGGCAGAGGCTGCAGATCAGCCCTCAGTGGCCCAAGCACTACCTGGAACCAGTTCTTCCGGCTTGTTCAGCTGCAGCTCCCAAGGGAGTTGGTAAGAGCACCAGGATGTGGCCAGGCATGGTGACTCACGCCTGTAATCCCAGCATTTTGGGAGGCCTAGGTGGGCAGATCACCTGAGATCAGGAGTTTGAGACCAGCTTGGCCAAACATGAGAAAACCCCTTCTCTACTAAAATTACAAAAATTAGCTGGGCACAGTGGTAGGTGCCTGTAATCCCACCTACTTGGGAGGCTGAAGCAGGAGAATTGCTTGAACCTGGGAGGCAGAGGTTGCAGTGAGCCGAGACCACACCACTGCACTCCAGCCTGGGCAACAGTGAGCAAGATTCCATCTCAAAAAAAAAATACAAAAGTTAGTGGGGCATGGTGGCACACACCTGTAGTCCCAGATACTCCAGAGGCTGAGGTGGAATTGCTTGAAGCTGGGAGGCGGAGGTTGCAGTCAGCTGAGATTGCGCCACTGCACTCCAGCCTGGGTGACAGAGCGAGACTCCATCTCCAAAAAAAAAAAAAACCAGCCAGGCGCGGTGACTCATGCCTGTAATCCCAGCACTTTGGGAGGCTGAGGTGGGCAGATCACGAGGTCAGGAGATCGAGACCATCCTGGCTAATATGGTGAAACCCCGTCTCTACTGAAAATTCAAAAATTAGCCGGGCGTGGTGGTGGGCGCCTAGGCAGGAGAATGGTGTGAACCCGGGAGACGGAGCTTGTAGTGAGCTGAGATCGTACCACTGCACTCCAGCCTGCGTGACAGACAGAGACTCCATCTCAAAAAAAAAAAACAAAAAACCAAAAATAAGAAATCTAAGAAAACAAGGAAGGAAAACAGTCCTCAGTGACAGGGAAACCTGCCTTAACCAAGTGACCTGTTCTCTAATTTCGCCTAGATGAGTTTTTAATATTTGCAGATATATTTGTGTAAGTACAGGATGTGGGATTTGCAACCTTATACGTTCCTCCCTGCTCAGCTAAGATGTAATCTAAGGCTACCCTATTATCTAAGACAACCTGAGCCAGTGAATGAATTCCTTTCTGCTGGGCTGCCTTGCTGACACACTTTTCTCAGCAAGAATTCCCGAAGTAAGATTCCTCATCCTGTGCTCACGGGATGCCACTCCCCACCAAGTCGCCCAAAGACCCAGGTACATGTTTTTGGTGTCCGTGGACTGCTTAGTTCTGCAGCCTCCGCCTCCCGGGTTCAAGCGATTCTCTTGTCTCAGCCACACAAGTAGCTGGGACTATAAGCGCACACCACCACATCCAGCTAATTTTTTGTATTTTTACTAGAGATGGGGTTTCACCACGTCACCCAGCTGCTCTTGAACTCCTGGGCTCAGGTAATCCACTTTCCTTGGCCTCGCAAAGTGCTGGGATTGCAGGTGTGAGCCACTGTGCCCGGCCAACTGCTTCGTTTTCATGAGTTGTTTAGTTGGTGAGAGCTATGAACAAAAAGTATCCGAGACAGGCCTCAATCAATCTATTTATTTATTTATTTGAGACGAAGTTTTGTTCTGTGGCCCAGGCTGCAGTGCAGTGGCCTGATCTCAGCTCACCACAACCTCCACCTCCTGGGTTCAAGCGATTCACCTGCCTCAGTCTCCCAAGGAGCTGGGACTACAGGCACGCCCCACCGCGTCTGGCTGTTTTGTATTTTCAGTAGAGACGTGGTTTTGCCACGTTGGTCAGGCTGGTCTCAAACTCCTGACCTCAAGTCATCTGCCCACCTCAGCCTCCCAAAGTTCTGGGATTACAGGTGTGAGCTACCACGCCCAGCCAATTATTTTTTATTTCAATAGTTTTTGGGGAACAGGCAGGTTTTGGTTCCAGGGATGAGTTCTTTAGCGGTCAATAAGTTTAGAAAGGTTATTTTGCCAAGGTTTAGGACGTGCCCATGACACAGCCTCAGGAGGTCCTGGCAACATGTGCCCAATGTGGTCACATGTTGCTTTTATACTTTTTAGGGAGACACAATACATCAGTCAATACCTATCAGATGTACATTGGTTTGGTCAGGAAAGGAGGGACAACTTGAAGGGAGGGGGCTTCCAGGTCATAGGTAGATTTAAAGATTTTCCTTTTTTTTGAGACGGAGTCTCACCCTGTCACCCAGGTTGGAATGCAGTGGTGCTATCTCAGCTCACTGCAACCTCTACCTCCCGGGTTTAAGTGATTCTCCTGCCTCAGCCTCCCGACTAGCTAGGATTACAGGCACCTGCCACCATGCCCGGCTTTTTTTTTTTTTTTTTTTTTTTTTTTTTTTTTTTTTTGAGATGGCATTTCCCTCTTGTTGCCCAGGCTGGAGTGCAATGGCACAATCTTGGCTCACTGCAACCTCCACCTCCTGGGTTCAAGCAATTCTCCTCCCTTAGCCTCCTGAGTAGCTGGACTACAGGCGCCCACCACCACACCTGGCTAATTTTTGTAGTTTTAGTAGAGACAGGGTTTCGCCATGTTGGCCAAGCTAGTCTCAAACTCTTGACCTCAGCTGGTCCACCTGCCTCAGCCTCCCAAAGTGCTGGGATTACAGGTGTGAGCCACCATGCCCGGCTGAATACTCTTGTTTTGTTTCTTTTCTTTC